ATAGCAGTGTTTACACATAAGATCATATCTTCTCGATCCCCCTTGTATCTTTATGAGAAATTTGTTTTCAGACGAAATAATTCAGACATTGATTTCAGTCACAAAAAAAGACTAGAGATCCCTATGTATAAAACAACTTTATTTCGTAGTTCATACACTTACAATGCTATCCTGATTTATAACGAATTAGATGACATATAAAGGATTGGCCAGTAAACACATTTCGTAAGCATGTGAAACAGATTTATTTATCATTGTAGTAATTGTGGAAAAGTTAGTTTTTAATTCTTATATTTTATTTTATTTTTACGTAATATATGTGTGTATATTATGTATGTCAGGAAGCTATCAAGCTCATTGTTTTGAAGCGTCTTTTGCGGCTTGTCAAAGTTTCCTTTGATTAAGTATTTCAATTTATTATTTGGGTAGGTTAAGTAGAGTAGCCAAGAGCTAGACTTCGCCTACGTAAAGGTCACATTATGTTGTAGTTTATATAATGTACCTAATAAAGACATTTTATTATTATTATTATTATTATTATTATCATAAGTGAAAGAATAGTTGCAGCTTGTGATATAATAAAAAATACTCCAGGGATATTTCAACGAGTGCGCAATTCCATGAGAAGGAGGGCGGAAGCATGCATACTAAGTGAAGAGGGCCGTTTTCAACAATTTTTGGAATCATTTCGTTGGTTTTAATGTTATGTTTATGTTGTCAGTTGTTGTTCATTACTCCTACTGTGTTTAATTTTTCCAATTAAATTAATAATTTTGCAAGTTAGACGATAGAATGGTTTTTATTTTTTACTCAAAAATGCGAGCAACGAAGGAAAACAATTCAAGAGCGATCATTTGTTTTAAATTGAACGGGGAATTCAAAAATAATTTTTATTTGGAAAAAAACCATTGGCGTACCATTTTTTGCTTGAAAAATATCGATGTCAATACCCGTACGCACGCCACTGTTAAAGTTAAAAATTATTTTTGCATTGAAAAATATGCAACTTTATTAACTTTCACTACGTACTAAATATCAGTGAAATATCGGAACCGGTTCTGAAAATATTAATTAATTTCCATTTTTTTTTCCCAAAACTTCAACACGCCGAGTTTTTGTAAAGAAGCATTCTTGGACCTTAGTTTACATAGCAAACTAACATTAATTTTTCATGTAAATTTACACCCTTAAATATTCGCATATCATTAAAGAACACCCTGTATACACACCATCAAACAACCACACGAACAGCATTAAAAATACTCCTCAACGCAAAAACGGAAATGCGACATTAAAACCAAGAGCCTAAGTAAGTAAAACGTAACGAGGCATACCTCGCCTTGGAGCATATCTTCCTGTACTTTCAACCCCTGGCTATATTTTCCTGCAAGAAACTCACGATCCTAAACTCGCGTGAATCAACCCGAGAACGCGGCAATCGACTTTGTTCTTGCGCGAAAGATTAACGCGCTTGTAGCCTCTACGTTCGCCGTGTAAGACTGGCGCGACGATTGCGACTGCGGAATCGCCATTCCTGCAAAATGCGGAGGCGCTCCTGCTAACAGCCGAGCACCACTGACCGACGCAGGACGCATTACCCACAAGCGCTCCTCGTTTATTCTCGCATACTTTTCGTTATATTTACATAAAGGTGCCGAAGTTGAGATTATTAAATATTCATATACAAACGCATATATGACCCTCAGTTTCATATGGACAAGTCATATATCATTTAAAAGGACAATAAACTATCTATCTATAGTCAAAATCACGAAAGATGACTATTACGTCATACCATACATTGTGTTGAAGTAATCAATGGACGTACGTCGATAATACAATCACGACGTCATTTTTGCGAAGTTAGGTTATTTCACTGATTATTTTCATTTCATTTCATGGTTTTAAGTGATCCCCTAATAATAATTTTAGTCTGGAGTTTTTGTTTGAAAGAACAGTTATGAATAGAACACCTTAAGACATTAAGACCAATGACCGAAGTATTATTCGAAAACAACCTAACTATTCATCTTTCAAATATGATCGATCATGCAACATGAAAACATCGTCTATCGTTGTCGGATGCATGCAAATTAGCAATACAGTTTGTTTAGACAATAAAAATATCTTTGTCTCTGTCTAACATATCAGAAACTTCATTAAAAATATTCACAAATCGCTGTCGTATGTCTTTCCTACAGACTAAAATGATGACGTAATCGTCATCTTTCGGGATTTCGACTATATGTATACTAAGTGACATATAAATCCGAACACCCAGTTTAAATGGTTTTATTTTAATAAAATTTGTATAAGTACTTAATGAAGCATAATAAGTAAATGATAAAAATTTCAAAATGATTGCACTGCTTTAAAGCCCTTTGACCTTTAATAATGTGTGGATGCACCCTGATGTGCTACGCATTCTCCAACGCGCCTAGGCATGCTTCTGATCAGGTGGTCAATGTCCTCCTGTGGTATCTCATTCCAGGCAACCACCAACTCCTCTCGAAGTGCTTCTAGAGTCTGAGGAGGACGTTGCAAATTGAACAATCTCCTACCCATCATATCCCACACGTGCTCAATTGGGGATAAGTCGGGAGATCTTGGTGGCCATGGTAACAATGTGACATCATTATGTTGAAAGAAGTCTATTGTGACTCTTGCAACATGTGGTCGGGCATTATCTTGTTGAAAAGTTGGATCTGCCAGGGTGTCAAGATAGGGTAAAAGATGGGGTTCTAGAACTTCGTGGATATAACGCTGCGCGTTCATGTTACCTCTGATGAAGATTAAAGGTGACCTGGAACCATAAGCTATAGCACCCCAAACCATAACTCCAACAGTGTGATGAACATGTCTTTCAACAAAAAACTGTGGATTCCTCCTTTCACCACGTCGCCTTCTAACCCTGGCACGACCATCGTGCATGCCTAAACAAAATCGAGACTCGTCACTAAAGACAATACTGTTCCATTCCTGTCCCAGAGTGACCGTTGTCTGCACCACTCAAGGCGATTACTCGGTGTAAGGGTTAGAAGGCGACGTGGTGAAAGGAGGAATCCACAGTTTTTTGTTGAAAGACATGTTCATCACACTGTTGGAGTTATGGTTTGGGGTGCTATAGCTTATGGTTCCAGGTCACCTTTAATCTTCATCAGAGGTAACATGAACGCGCAGCGTTATATCCTCGAAGTTCTAAAACCCCATCTTTTACCCTATCTTGACACCCTGGCAGATCCAACTTTCCAACAAGATAATGCCCGACCACATGTTGCAAGAGTCACAATAGACTTCTTTCAACATAATGATGTCACATTGTTACCATGGCCACCAAGATCTCCCAACTTATCCCCAATTGAGCACGTGTGGGATATGATGGGTAGGAGATTGCTCAATTTGCAACGTCCTCCCCGACTCTAGAAGCACTTCGAGAGGAGTTGGTGGTTGCCTGGAATTAGATACCACAGGAGGACATTGACCACCTGATCAGAAGCATGCCTAGGCGCGTTGGAGAATGCGTAGCACATCAAGGTGCATCCACACATTATTAAACATCAAAGGGCTTTAAAGCAGTGCAATCATTTTGAAATTTTATCATTTACTTATTATGCTTCATTAAGTACTTATACAAAATTTTATTAAAATAAAACCATTTAAACTGGGTGTTCGGATTTATATGTCACTTAATATATCTTTCCATCTATTTAGGGTGATCATTTGAAAACTTCCCATCACCGATTTATCGAAAACCACTGATTAAAAGAACGCACCGAG